TTCACTTTCAGGCCAAGGGAGCTGGTGTCTGTCCACAGACATCTTTCTGGGTCATGTGACCAGCATGACTAAACCGCTTCTGGCGCAACGGGACACTGTGACGGAAGCCAGAGCACACAGAAACACTGTTTTCCTTCCCGCCACAGTGGTACCTATTTAGAAGAAGAAGAGTTTGGATTTGATATCCCGCCTTTCAATCCCCTAAAGGAGTCTCAAAGCAGCTAACAATCTCCTTTCCCTTCCTCCCCCACAACAAACACTCTGTGAGGTGAGTGGGGCTGAGAGACTTCAGAGAAGTGTGACTAGCCCAAGGTCACCCAGCAGCTGCATGTGGAGGAGCGGGGAAGTGAACCCAGTTCACCAGATTACGAGTCCACCACTCTTAACCACTATACCACACTGGCTCTCATACCACTGGTATGCTTTCAACTGCTAGGTTGTCAGAAGCTGGGACAGAGCAACAGGAGCTCACCCCATCGTGGGGATTCGAACCACCAACCTTCTGATCGGCAAGCTCAACATCACCATCACTTTTAATTTGTATACATCTTTCTATCTTACAGTACTCAAGGTGGTTTACAAGCGGAAGAAACAAAGAATGTACACCTTACAACAATCTAATGCAATACAAAAATGAGATAATGAAACATAATAAAATAGGCAACCTACATCAAAAAAGCAATTCAACAATAATTTGAATAATATAGAATAATATCAGCATATAAAAATTAAACAGAAATTCACTCTTAACAATTGCAATAAATAATTTGTAAACTACAATCACTAAACAATGGCAAGCCACAGTGCATAAAATAATACAATACAAATTGAGAAGAAGAGACTAGAGGGTGGGCAAGGCAGGTGGAAGAAGTCTCTCCCCTCACGGTTCTTCTCCAGGAACAGCTCTCTTATGAGGACTACTAGGCCCGTGGTTTAGACCACAGCACCACCACGTTATAGTGATAGTTACCGTATTTTTTGTTCTATAACACACACCCGACCATAACACGCACCTAGTTTTTAGAGGAGGAAAATCCATAGGCATGCCACCCATAGGCATTCCCTCCATAACACGCACAGACATTTCCCCTTACTTTCTAGGAGGAAAAAAGTGAGTGTTATGGTGCAAAAATACAGTTATAGCCATAACACTATAACTCATGGGCCGCCAATGAGGCCGAGTGTTGGAAGGTTCTTTGATCCATGCTGAAAGGACTTCTTCAGACTGTGCATAGTTAAAGAGCTAGTGTGGCATAGTGATTAGTGAGAAACACCTGAAGGAGAGTCTCCACCCGCATCGTTCTGCCCGAACACTGAGGTCCAGCTCCGAGGGCCTTCTGGCAGTTCCCTCCCTGCAAGAAGTGAGGTTACAGGGAACCAGGCAAAGGGCCTTCTCGGTAGTGGCGCCACCCTGTGGAACGCCCTCCCATCAGATGTCAAGGAAATAAACAACTATCTGACTTTTAGAAGACATCTGAAGGCAGCCTTGTTTAGGGAAGCTTTTAATGTTTAATAGGTTATTGTATTTTAATACAGTGGTACCTCGGGTTAAGTACTTAATTCGTTCCGGAGGTCTGTACTTAACCTGAAACTGTTCTTAACCAGAAGCACCACTTTAGCTAATGGGGCCTCCTGCTGCCGCCGCGCCGCCAGAACATGATTTCTGTTCTCGTCCTGAAGCAAAGTTCTTAACTTGAAGCACTATTTCTGGGTTAGCATAGTCTGTAAACTGAAGTGTATGTAACCTGAAGCGTATGTAACCCGAGGTACCACTGTATTCTGTTGGTAGCCGCCCAGAGTGGCTGGGGAAACCCAGCCAGATGGGCGGGGTATAAATAATAAATGTATTATTATTATTATTATTATTATTATTATTAGTTGGACTAGAACCTGGGAGACTAGAGTTCAATTCCTCACTTGGCTGTGATGCTTATGGGGTGACTGCAACCCACCCACCAGCTGCTGCAGCAATCTCCTTCCAACTTTTGAGAGGTTGGTGGTCCAGCCCACTGAAGGTGGGAGGCTGAGGGATCCGGCCCACTAGTGGAATCCAGTTCCCAGTCCCTAGGATATAGCAAAGGTGTGTGAAAGCTTCAGGAGAGCCTCCAAACAGCACTGGAAGGCCCCTGTTCAGTGTGCCTGAGCCCCAAACAGGAGAGAAGGGGATATGCTGCAATATTTTGTTGCCGCTCCCCACTGGTTTGTTCCAGGTGTTTTCATCACTGCACCTTCCCTGACATGGAAAGGCTCAGCTTGCTCTGGAAATGGGGTGTGGGGATGGGTCGGGGGCGAGACACGAGAGGCCTGCAAAATGAATACACACACTTACACAATCAATAGAGAGCAGAGTCAAAATCACTCTTGCAATTTCAGGTAGTTACAAACATTTCTGAAAGGCCATCAAGCTCTCAAGGCAGAGCCAGTTAAATTCCTTTTCCCGGACTGCCCATCAACTCAACTGTCGGCTGCCAGCAACTGCCTGACTTGTACAACTCTTTTTGGGAGCTTTCAAAACAAACTTGCAGAGCTTGCATTTTGCAAGCAGGGGGAAAAAAACCCAATCATTGAGCATCCTTAAAGGTAAAGGTAAAGGGACCCCTGACCATTAAGTCCAGTCGTGACCGACTCTGGGGTTGCGGCACTCATCTCGCTTTATTGGCCGAGGGAGCCGGCGTACAGCTTCCAGGTCATTTGGCCAGCATGACTAAGCCGTTTCTGGCGAACCAGAGCAGCGCACGGAAACGCCGTTTACCTTCCCGCTGGAGCAGTACCTATTTATCTACTTGCACCCGGGGGTGCTTTCGAACTGCTAGGTTGGCAGGCGCTGGGACCGAGCAACGGGAGCGCAACCCGCCGCGGGGATTCGAACCGCCGACCTTTCGATCGGCAGGCCCTAGGCTCTGTGGTTTAACCCACAGCGCCACCCGCGTCCCTTTGAGCATCCTTAAATGCCTCTAAATGAAGCAAAACAGAGCAAATGTAACTTATTTGTTTTTGTTTGTTCCTTTTTGTTTCTTTCTTTTTGGCTTAGCATGTTGGGCACATCACACTTACCCTGACATAAATAGGTTCTATATTTCATTATCTGTGCCAGAGGATAAATGCTGCACACATTTCCTAAGGGAAGAAGCTGGTGTAAGGCTGCCTCTCTAACATAGCTGGCTTCATCACTAACTTAGAGATGGAGCAATCACAGCTCCATGTATCATGGTGCAAGGGCTAAGAGCAACAGGACCTGAACTTTTCTCCAGTTTGTCTTTTACTGAAGCAGGACATATTTTATGGTCTGTAAACTAAAGTCACATCCACACTGGATATGTGAAGTGTTTGGCTTTAGAATCCTGGGGACTGTAGTTTGTTAAGGGTGCTGGGAATTGTAGCTCTGTGAAGGGGTAAACTATAGTTTCCAGGGAAGTTTTGTGGGAGAAGTGTTAAGGTAAAGGTACCCCTGCCCGTACGGGCCAGTCTTGACAGACTCTAGGGTTGTGCGCCCATCTCACTCAAGAGGCCGGGGGCCAGCGCTGTCCGGAGACACTTCCGGGTCACGTGGCCAGCATGACAAGCTGCATCTGGCGAGCCAGAGCCGCACACGGAAACGCCGTTTACCTTCCCGCTAGTAAGCGGTCCCTATTTATCTACTTGCACCCGAGAGTGCTTTCGAACTGCTAGGTTGGCAGGCACTGGGACCGCAGACCTTTCGATCGGCAAGCCCTAGGCGCTGAGGCTTTTACCCACAGCGCCACCCGCGTCCCTGTGTTAAAGTGTTATAAATGTACTTTAAATGTCCAGGGTGGATATAAGATAAAGGCTAAAAGAGGTTCCATCTATGTTTTTTGATGACCTACCAACAACAACAAAAAAGTTCAAAAATGTGTTCTGTTTGTGGAAATTGCTTGAAAAAATTAATGTGTGCAGAGGTTGTTTGGGTTGTTTAATGCAAAGCGATCTGCAACTGAACTTAAATGTTTAGCTAAAATGAGAAATGGAGGGAAGAGAAATATACACCCTCCCTACTTATTAGGTCAAATGCAAAGTGACCACAGATCAGGAATATGAAGTGACCCATCCCTAACTCCTCCCTGATCACACCGGAGAGGAAACGTTTAACACAGGGAAATGGAGTAAGCCAATGTGTGCCCCCTCCAGATCTTGGTGGACTGCAACTCACACCACCCCCAGAGATGAGGGGGGAAATCAATTTGCATCTAAAACAGCACCAGATTTGCACTTCCTGCAACTTGAGAACCAACCCTGAGCTATATTGGGGAAAGCATATGCATATATAATATGACCCCTGGTTAAGTCCAGTCAAAGGCAACTATAGGGTTGCGGCGCTCATCTTGCTTTCAGGCTAAGGGAGCCGGCATTTGTCCACAGACAGCTTTCCAGGTCATGTGGCCAGCATGACTAAATCGCTTCTGGCACGACGGAACACCATGATGGAAACCAGAGCACACGGAAACACCATTTACCTTCCTGCCACAGCGGTACCTATTTTTCTACTTGCACTGGTGTGCTTTCAAACTGCTAGGTTGGCAAGATAAGGGACAGAGCGATGGGAGCTCACCCAGTCATGGGGATTTGAACTGTCGGCCTTCTGGTCAGCAAGCCCAAGAGGCTCAGTGGCTTAGACCTGACAGAGATGCCAACATCCTAAATGTGTGTGTGTGTGCACGTGTACACACATTTATGTATGAAAATAAAATGTGTGCATTAGTAAAAAAAGAAGTGTTTATTAGCAGTAATTTGTACTAAACACTGAAGAAATTTCAGGAGGATCTTTTTAAAGGAAGAAATCAGCAAATCGCTGAAGAAATATAGAGAACTGAATGTATGGATTAGGAAAGAAGCAAAACAGAGAAGTGAAATTGACAGATCCTTCCATGCCTAGCCATGGATGAAGGCCGTTGTGGACCAAAACAATCTGGAGGACACCAAGGCCACATTCACACCATACATCTGAGAGAGAAACAGGCGGTGTAAGAAAATCCTTTTTAATGCAATATTTATTAACAATGCAATACAAGCCCATGTGAACAAGACTTGACACCATGCAGGCTAAAATCCCATATCTAAAATAAATACATGGAGGTGAAGGGGAGGCTGGGCTCTGCCCGGCAACCAGCTTCCGCCTGGGAGTTATGGCAATGATAATATCCCATTAAAGAGTAATATAAATTAGAGTGCGTTTAAATAATACAGCAGCAGTGAGACTTCCTGGATCCCCAGCAGTTTCTGCCTGAGGGCCAGGCAGGGGCGTGAATGTTCGTGCTCCTTCCTACAACACCTTAGTCCGCGTGGCTACATTGTGCAGGGGATGTCAAAAGTCTCAGCATGAAAGTCAGTGGCAGGCAAGATTCTCCCCAACCATCACTGCAGCATCTTCCTGGTGGGAGGGGACTGCAGGAGGCACCGAGGCGACGCATTTTCCTCCTTTGGCTCCTCGGTGGCATCCAGCAACTGCTGCATGTAACAGGACGTGCCGAGCAACACGTGACCCGTCGCTTGCATGGTGAAGAGGGTCCAGCGTAGAGCTTCCCTAGGGGGTGGGAGAGAGAGAAGAGCCTTGTCAAAGATTCAACTTGCATTCAGGTAGGATTCTGAACAGGAGAGATCTATCAGTGTTCTGAGCGGGTATGCACAGTGGTGGAGCAAGCCGATTGGGCACCCGGGGCGGTGCGCATGCCCTGCGCCCAGGGGTGGGGCCAGCTGCCCACGGGGCAGAGTGATCCAGGGCAGGACTCTCCGCGGGGCCAGTGTGGTGTAGTGGTTAAGAGCGGTGGACTCGTAATCTGGTGAACTGGGTTTGCTTCCCCGCTCCTCCACATGCAGCTGCTGGGTGACCTTGGGCCAGTCACACTTCTCTGAAGTCTCTCAGCCTCACTCACCTCACAGAGTGTTGTGGGGGAGGAAGGGAAAGGAGAATGTTAGCCGCTTTGAGACTCCTTAAAGGTAAAGGTAAAGGGGACCCCTGACCATTAGGTCCAGTCGTGGCCGACTCTGGGGTTGCGGCGCTCATCTCGTTTTACTGGCCGTGGCAGCCAGCGTACAGCTTCCGGGTCATGTGGCCAGCATGACTAAGCTGCTTCTGGCAAACCAGAGCAGCACACGGAAACGCTGTTTACCTCCCCGCCGGAGCGGTACCTATTTATCTGCTTGCACTTTGACGTGCTTTTGAACTGCTCAGTTGGCAGGAGCAGGGACCGAACAATGGGAGCTCACTCTGTTGCAGTGATTCGAACCACCGACCTTCTGATAGGCAAGTCCTAGGCTCAGTGGTTTAACCCATAGCACCACCTGTGTCCCTTTGAGACTCCTTAGGGTAGTGATAAAGCAGGATATCAAATCCAAACTCTTCTTCTCTTCTTCTTCCAAGGAGTCTGCCTCCCTATTCCCACTCCCACCCTACAGCTAAGGGGGAGGGAGCGGGAGGACCATTTGGGGCAGAGCAGAGCCTGCGGGCGCCCAAGCCACCACGTCACTCCCGGGAGAGATGTGTGGCTCCAGCGTGCTACAGGCCCCACAGTGAGTGCTGCCCAGCATTTTGTCACCCCGCTCAGTGGTGACACCTGGGGCGACCCACCCCCACCGCACACCCCTTCCTCTGCCCCTGGGTATGCATGCTCAGGACACAGTTTTATGCTTCAATGGCAAATCTATTTTTGCAGCAGGGCAGAGAAGGCAATGACACTGTCCTCGATGATCGCCCCATGCTTGAGCACCCGGAAGCAGCAGCAGTGGTGGCGGCAGCGGCTACATTCCCATTAGCTACTTGTTTTCTGAAATGCTACAGGAGGACAATGAGTTGACTAAAATTGGGAAGGGACAGTGGGTTTTACTGATAGCTCAAACGTTTGAACAAGATAATGTTCACTCACTTTATATTAATGTGATCTGATGCATGGGTGCAGCATGAGCCCCCTGTTAAGGGGGGGAAATGCAATATAAAATTGGAATCTAAAAGCAAGTTGTCCCCAAAACAGTTAATAACCACCTCAATGGGTGAACCCAACTATTCCAGTTTCTAATTTATCCCAGTCCTCACTTCTCTAATTTTCACATTAGTTTGCATTTTTTTTAAAGGGTCCTCATGAAAATCTATCAGCAAATTTCTCTTTATATACAGGTGCTTATTTGCAATTTTGCCCAGCATACACATTTTTGCAAAGCAATTTTCTCATTTTCAGTATTATATACATTTTAAGGAAGACTTTACCCTAGTCATATGCTTTTTCTTTTTTTCTTTTTACACATTGCTTGGCTGGAGGACAGCACTACAAAAAGTGTGAATTTTGCAGAAAGATCACATTTCGGTCCACACATTTCAGTTCCAGAAGTGTGAATTAGAAAGGTTGGTCTTTAAATGTGAACTGCATTGAATTTCTCCTCCATCAGTAGGTCTAATTCAGCTGAGCTGAGAGACAGACTGATACTCACATCATTATCCTCTTGGCTCCATAGCACTGTACATCATAAGACATGCTGTACGTCCCATAGAGCGTGGCCTTGACATTCAGGCAGCCAATGAAGTCCCGAGGGTCGGTCTTGTAGAGGTCAAAGGTTACACAGGCCACGTCAATCCTGCGCCGGGGCTTGTGGGACAGAGAGAGCTGGTAGCCTGCTGTCTGCCAGGAAACAAAAAGAAAAGTAGGCTTACAATAGGCCCTGTATACCTAAAAGTGTACCAGTGAAGTCTCCTGGGGCAGCCCCATATGTAAAGCATTGCAGTAGTCAAAACATGTTGTGCACATTAAAATAGCGGCAGCAGGAGTAAACATCATTTGCTTAATCCAAAGTCAGAGAAAAAATGGACCAACTTTGGCCCTAAATAGTTACTTTTAGAGGGACACAGGTGGCGCTGTGGGTTAAACCACAGAGCCTAGGCCTTGCCAATCAGAAGGTCGGCAGTTTGAATCCCCGTGACGGGGTGAGCTCCCGTTGCTCGGTCCCTGCTCCTGCCAACCTAGCAGTTCGAAAGCACGTCAAAGTGGAAGTAGATAAATAGGTACTGCTCCAGCGGGAAGGTAAACGACATTTCCGTGTGCTGCTCTGGTTCACCAGAAGCGGCTTAGTCATGCTGGCCACATGACCCGGAAGCTGTACGCCGGTTCCCTCAGCCAATAAAGCGAGATGAGCGCTGCAACTCCAGAGTCGTCCGCGACTGGACCTAATGGTCAGGGGTCCCTTTACCTTTACTAGTTACTTTTAGAAGGAATCTGCATTGCTTAGACCAGGTGTCGCCAACCTTTAGAGGCCTATGGGCATATTTGGATTTTTGAGCAGCTGCCATACCCCCCGCATCACCTCTTTCTCTCTCTCTCCATTTTCTGCAGATCACCTTGCCAAAGATAAGGAAAAAGTGCGCCCTTCGTTTCCCAAGAGACCTGGGAAGAACATTGTTGGTTGCTAGTTCCTGCCTGAACCCTGTCCTGCTATCCTGCCCGAGCTCCTGACCCGCCCTGGCTCCCTGCTTGCAAGCCTGTTCCTGACTTCACCCGGCTCCCTGCCCTGCACCCAGCTTCAGCTACTACGGACTGCCTCCACGTTGCACCTTTGACCACGGACCGGACCTGGACCTCGCCTCTCGGGTAACCCACAGGACCAGCACAGACAGCCCTCTTCCCCATGAATCTGCCTAATCCAGAGGCGTAGCTAGGTACCCAAGCGTCTAGCTACGCCGCTGGGAGGAAGACCTCAGGAGTGCCAAGCTGGTGACCCTAGCCTAGACCCCGTAACACGTGAGAGATAAAGGTCTATGCACACACCTTTCGGCCTAGTAGAACATGTTCACCATGGAAACCCCTATCCAGGTCCTACCAGCAGAGGGGCTTAGCCCACTGGCTCACCTTGGCTGGGCGCCATGTCTGTCCTTTGGTCAACACCAGCAAGACTGTCCCATCCTCCAGAGTCTGGAAGAACTCCTCTGTCTCGACGGTGGTGCCATCTTCATCCAGGACAATGGAGATGTTGCCTGCTAAGAGTAGGGCACTGCGTACCTAGAGAGAAAGCACCGGGTTCAAATTCCACCTGTCCCCTCGACCCATCCCACCTTGCTCCTGGCAGAGGGCTCCTAGAATTGCTCACCTTCTCATGGAGATCCCTCAGGCTGTCGGCCATGATCCCCTTGCGGACGGTGCGGTCACAGTTGCTGACTCGGTAAGGCCGGGCTTGAGGAGCGTTGGCTGACACACACCTGAATGGGTGGATGGAATCCATCAAATGTTGGTTTCTCAGTTGGTTCCCCATTTTTAAGGGCCACTAATTACCTCACTGCACCGGTTGGAGGTTACTGAATGATAGCCAATGTTTGTTGTACTCAGAGTAGACCTATTAAACTGAATGGGCACGACTAACTTGAGTGCATTCATTCCAGTGGATCTGCTCCAAGCAAAGGTTAGAACCCATCATGTAAATCACCTTGAGTTGGTTGTTTAGAACAGTGTTTCCCAACCTTGGGCCTCCAGCTGTTTTTGAACTACAATTCCCATCATCCCTGACCACTGGTCTTGCTAGCTAGGGATGATGGGAGTTGTAGTCCAAAAACAGCTGGAGGCCCAAGGTTGGGAAACACTGGTTTAGAAGGCAATTAATAAGTTGATGGACCACGCCAAAATGGCAGAAGTGATGGGAAAAATCAGAAACCAGGAAGATGAAAACTTTAATATGGAATGGGCAAAATTTATAATTTATCTTGGAGAACACTGTAAACAATTAAAAACATTGGCAGGATTGTAACAATGCTTGTAATGTAACAAGAACTAAGGATATGATGGAGGTTTTCAAAAAGAAAAATGGAGGATAATATAAGATGCAACGGAAAGAGGCTAACAAGAGAACTACCCGGGGGAGGGGCGAGGGAAGTCCAAGGATTCAGAGAATCCTATATTTTTGTGATGTTAACTCATATTTGAATGTAAACTTTAATTGTAAAACACACACACACACACACACACACACACACATATGGCAATTAATAAGTTGATGGTAATATTGTGAAGGAGGAGGAGGAGGCAGTTAAAGTCATCACGAATATTCACCAGCATTTTAGCATGCATTTATTATTACATTTATAGCCCCCCCCCCCCCGTCAGCTCAAGGCAGTCACAGCTGACCACCCTCAGTCGCGAGGACTGCCCTGCAGGTACTTACTTGGTGAGGGACCGAGGGGAAAGCAAGCACAGAGACTTCTTTGCGTAGTCCATCCTTGAGAAAGGGTGAAGTTTTTGGTCCAAACTGCAGGGAGAGAGAAAGCTTGGTTAATATAATTCTGTAGGAAGCTGCCTCTCATGGGCGTCTTTTAAGCTTGGTATTAAGCTCGGGGGTTGAAGATTGGGGAGGGAAAGAGCCTTCGAACAGCTCTTAACAAAACACAGTTCCCAGAATCCTTTCTGGAAAGCCATGACTGGGGGTCATCATACTGTTAGATGACGGACAGGTGGATGGTCCTGCCCACCTGTCAAACTTGGCCCACAGGGATGGGGAGATAAAGGCGTGACTCTCCAGGCAAAAGAGGTCCGCCATCTCTGTATCAAAATATTATTTGGACCATCCAAGGGAAAACATAACTATGAAAATCAGTAGACCTAACATTCATATTAATACAGGACGTCAATTTGAAAAGCAATTCTTCTCCAACATAAGGTGCTGGCCAACCCAGCGACCTTTTGTTTCAGCAAGTACAGTGGTACCTTGGGTTAAGAACTTAATTCATTCCGAAGGTCTGTTCTTAACCTGAAACTGTTCTTAACCTGAAGCACCACTTTAGCTAATGGGGCCTCCTGCTGCCGCTGTGCCGCTGCTGCCACCCAATTTCTGTTCTCATCCTGAAGCAAAGTTCTTAACCCGAGGTACTATTTCTGGGTTAGCGGAGTCTGTAACCTGAAGCGTATGTAACCCGAGGTATCACTGTACACAAGACGGTAAATCCAAAGAGAGAGATCTCAGTCAGAGCAGCAGGAAAAATAGAGTAATACAGTGGTACCTCGATCCCGAACGGAACGTAAGACGCGACAGCGCATCTGTGCATGCGCGGGTTGCATTTCGCCGCTTCTGCGCATGATGTCATTTTGACCATCTGCGCATGCGCGAGCGGCGAAACCCAGAAGTAACGTGCTCCGTTACTTCTGGGTTGCCGCAGAGCGCAACCCGAAAGTGCTCAACCTGAAGCGTATTTATCCCGAGGTATGACTGTATAAGGGACGCGGGTGGCGCTGTGGGTAAAAGCCTCAGCGCCTAGGGCTTGCCGATCGAAAGGTCGGCGGTTCGAATCCCCGCGGCGGGGTGCGCTCCCGTTGCTCAGTCCCAGCGCCTGCCAACCTAGCAGTTCGAAAGCACCTCTGGGTGCAAGTAGATAAATAGGGACCGCTTACTGGCGGGAAGGTAAACGGCGTTTCTGTGTGCTGCGCTGGCTCGCCAGATGCAGCTTTGTCATGCTGGCCACGTGACCCGGAAGTGTCTCCGGACAGCGCTGGCCCTTGGCCTCTTAAGTGAGATGGGCGCACAACCCTAGAGTCTGTCAAGACTGGCCCGTACGGGCAGGGGTACCTTTACCTTTACCTTTTTATGACTGTATAAGGAAAGAAACCAAGGCCAATCCAGTGTTCTAGTGGGGCAGGTTTTTAGAGTGTAGTGTTCAAAAGAATGCAGCAATTAGACCTTCCCAGTTGAAAGACAGCCTGCTGTGCCCCTAACTTTGCACCCCCAATTAACCTGCGCATTCCAGAAGGAGAAGATTATTGGTATAGCAAAGAGTTCTCACCAATTGCAGAAAGGACGTGGAAGTCTCATGATAAGGCAGCTCATAAATTGGGGCGGTTGGGGAGGGAAGGGACATGATGTTCCAGCCCCAAGTAGAAATGTTGGCAGCTGCCTTATAATGAGTCAGACCAGCAGTTCATCAAGCTTAGTGTTGTCTACACTGACTGGCAGCTGTTCTCAAGGGTTTCAGGCAGGGAACATTCAATCCTGAATGCAAAGCAGATGCTCTACCATTGAGCTACAACCCTTTGACGAAGAATAAATCAAGATTCTAGTCCTTATGGTTCTATAAAAAAAACCCCAACAGAAATGAAGTAAACAGGAAGCTGCCTGGTACTGGGTTAGTCCATTGGCTCATCTAGTTCAGTGTTGTCTACACTGACTGGCAGCAGCTTTCCAGGGTTTCAGGCAGGGGACATTCCCAGCCCCACCTGTTTATTTGTATGTAGCTGAAGCTCAGAATAAAATACACAGTTTCGCAAAACTTACCGGGAGAATAATAAATCAAGATAACAAACTTTTTATAAAATAATGGAAATGGTTTATTGAATGTTTACAGATAAATTGTAAACAGATAAAAATGCTGGCAGGGTTATTGTACTAACCTGCAGTATATATTGAAAGAAAATAAATAAATGAGTAAGTTAATGAGTAATTTGGATATGCAGAAGATATTAAAAATAATTTTAAGGCACCACAGAAAGAGGGGGAAGGAAGTCAAGTTTTAAAATGTCAAAATGATTCTAAAATCAGTGAAATGTATATATCTGAAAAGTATTTCCTTTAAAAAAAGAATAAAATACACAGTTAAAATAGTGGTTAAAATCAGGCAATCTGGCAGAGAAAGAGTTTGCTCCCCTGAAAAAAATTAACTCAGTACACCCCCCCCCAACATTCCTCCTTAAAATTGTTGCTCTAAAGACAGAACGGGCCACTTTTTCAGAAAGGGGGGGAACACAGACAGATGGACCTGTTCCTTAATAAAAAGTTAATCAGATACCCAATCGATCTGTCAATCGATTGACTTAAATCTTTGAACAGGGCTGCCTATAGGCCCCTGTAGATTGTGCAAACCAGTAAGTACTGGGGTGAATCTTCCGGCACACAACCTACATGGAGAGACTTGAGGATTGAACCTGTTGTTCAAAGCCGATGCTCTATTTCCCAGTAAGCTATAAAACCCGTTCCCCAAAAATAAACTTTCTAGTCCTTAAGGTTAAAAAGAAAAGACCTGAATGAAATAGGAATCTGCCTGATCTGGAGATGCCAGGATTCGAACCTGGGACCCTTCTGCATGCAAGGCAGATGCTCTGCCTCTGAGCTTCTTCACCTTAATAATATAACTGGCACTGCTGTCTGGCATGAGGCTGACAGACGACCCAAAGTCAAGCAACGCCCGTGGCCTTTTACTTACTTTCACCAGCTGCTCTGCTCTGCCAGCGCTACTGGATTTTGTCTCAGTGCCCTCTCTGTTTATAGAAGCAAAGAACCTCGTCTGCCCTTTGAACAGGGACAGGGTGGGGCTGCCAAAAGGGACAGAGTGTCTGCCAGCCTCACCAGTCCAGTTGCGTCAGGTGGCAAGGAACAGCAGCGGTTGGGCAATCGGGCCAGATTGCTGGGCACTGAGCAGCGTCACCCAATTCTGGGGGCGGGGAGAAAGGAGAGTCATCACGCTGACTCAGATCCTGTTATGCCAACAAAGCCTGAATGAATGAATGAATGAATGAATGAATGAATGAATGAATGAACCATTGGCCCATCTAGCTCAGTAATGTCTACACTGACTGGCAGCAGCTCTACATGAAAGGAGAGTCTCTCTGAGTCCCACCTGATGGGACCTTCTGCATGCGAATTCTGATGCTCCAAGTCATAGCATCAAATAGGTTCCTTGTGGTTCTAAAATAAAGGGGTGATTTTAAATTAGAAGGCATTGGCCCATCTAGCTCAGTAATGTCTACACTGACTGGCAGCAGCTCTCCAGGGTTTCAGGCAGGGGGACACTCGCAGGCATATCTGCAGATTGAACCTAGGACATTGAACAAAGCAGATGTTCAACCATTAGGCTATGGCCCTTCTCCTAAAAACAAAGCAAGATTTTAGTCCTCATGCTTCGGAATAAAGGGATGATTTAAGCGAGAAACTGCTTTATACCAAGTCTAACCATTGGACTGTTTAGCTGAGTGTTGTCTACAAGGACTAGGAGAGGCTGTCCGGGGTTTGAGGCAGGGGGTCCCTCCCAACCCCACCTGGGGATTGAACCTGGGACCTTCTTTGTGCAAAGTAGATGCTCTGCCACTGAGCTATAAACCTTTCCCAGCAGAGCAGAAGTAATCCTAAGGTCATATAGAGCTTATTCCTCCACTCTTTCCAGGCACAGCCCATGCTTTAAAGATCCATGTCTAAGCATCCTTCCCCCCCCAAAAAAAAAAATTCCAGTGAAACCCTGCTCTTTAAAGCTCAATCGGAGCAAATTGCAATCTGCAGAAAACTCGATCTTTGCTCTGATTGAGCACTAAAGAGCGGGTTTTCCTGGACAAACCAACCAACCAGTCTGACATGGAGCTTTTAAGTACAGGCCTGTGCCTGGAAAGAGCAGAGCAAAAGCTAAATGTGGATAATCCCTTAGTCCAGAACTGTGGCACAAATTACCCGAGTGGCCACTCCTGCACTTGGCTACACAGCACATCTGGAGTCCCAGAGCTGAGGAGAGCTACAAAATCACAGGAGAGGTGAGACCGGATGGAGCCAGTTGCCCATTTTCCCAGTCCAAATTCAGCCCTCCACATTCTCATCTCAGTTTGCAATGGAGGGAAAAATCATCATGAAACCAGCATTTCTGTTAATATGCACATTATTGTATGCAATGCATTATTATATGCAATGGGGAACATTATTGTATAAAACTCTCCTAAAGCAATTTCAAATGCTATTTCCACTAATATTGCATTTGCGCACACGCACACACACACACACACACACACACACACAATTTATCACAGCATGTGCCTTTTTGTACTTATTCCTAGGCTGAAGAATCACATTGCAAAATTCAGAGGCGGTCGAATTTCAAAGGGCAGCTATGTCTTGCATAGCATATTAATTTGGAAACTGTGAGTTGGGGAAGTTTGCTTTCAAATGCAAACTGGATTAAACCTCCCCTGCCAGGAATCAGTAGTGCAAAAGTGCTGCCCCCACCCCTGAGCACGGTTTGCCCACAAAAACCTAGATTCAGTCCTGCACATTATCATCTGAAGTTGCGGCGAATCAGAGTTAGTTGGAAAGGACCCAAGGATCATCTAGTCCAACCCCTGAAAGGCAGGAATCACAACTAAAGAATCCTTGACAGATGGCCACCCGACCTCTGTTTAAAAACCTCCATTGGAGGAGAGTCTGCTGCCTTCGCTATAAGATTATTAAGTCTAAAACAGGCTACCTGCCCTACGGTCCTTACCTGCAGTCTCAGGTTGGTACAGTGTGCAGACTGAGACTTATTCCCTCACCAGCTCCTTGCAAGAATGAGGCTTCTGTTTACACCCCAGAAAGCTGAGTGCCCATCTCCAGATTACTAGAGCCAACCACTGGCTTTGACTTCAACATCCCTTCTCCACCCTCAAGACGTCAGCTCTTTCCTTCCCCGTCACAAGATGGCCGTGAACTCTGTACTCCTCAAACTTTAGCCAGATGCTATCACATGTTCACTGTCTCTATTCTCCCCGGTTTAGCAACAACTCTCTTCCGCTAGCATTTTTTTAAAAAAAGTTTAATTAGAGTTTATAAAGAGAAATACAAAACTTCAAAGGTCTTTTTTATCCAGCGTTAATCTGAATAAGATCCCATGATGAAAAAGAGAAAGAAAAAAAAGTTAGAGAAATAAGAAAAGAGCTTAAAAGAGGAGATAGAAAAGATAAGGTTCAGAGAACTTCCAATTCTTAATCTGTCCACTGTATATAAACATATTGATTGGCAGCTGCCTTTTAAAAAATAAAATAAAAATAAAGGAAGAGTATATAAAGGCCTTAACAGCTTGGGACCAGTCTGCTTGAGAGATCACCTTATTTTGTAACCACTTCAACCGGTGGAACTGGCGCAATGACTGGTGCCACATAATACCTGTTCTGCAGTTGTAAGTAATGCATATTTTAGTGTGGCAGCACCTACACTTTGGAACTCCCTGCCTATTGAGAGCAGGCAGGGGCCTTCACTGTCCTCTTTTCGGTGCCTGCCAAAAACATTCCTCTTTAGAAAAGCCTAGCCAGAGCTTTGTGAAGTTGACGCACGTTTTCGTCTCTTGTTCTCTTAACTTTTTGGAAGTCTCTATTATCGTTGCTATTTTTTTCTTATTGATAATACAATTGTTTTCTCTTTCTTGCAAACTGCTTTGAGGTTCTCCTTCTTCTTACAATCCAGCAGTTTGTGTGTTTTATGAAATAAATAAAATAAATGAAACTCCACGACGAATAAGAGTACAGAATGCAGTGCTGGAACTGCAGCTCTTGTGCTAAGAACTAATAGCAAGTTTCTGGTCCTCATGGTTGAAAGTGATGCACTCATGCTTCCAAGGGTATTACCTCCCCATGTCCCAGAAGGTTTTGAGCAGTTTGGTGGCCAAAGCTCCAGCATTCTGCCCGATGTATGACCACCAATACATACATTTCAGGTTACATACGCTTCAGGTTACAGATTCCGCTAACCCAGAAATAGTGCTTCAGGTTAAGAACTTTGCTTCAGGATAAGAACAGAAATCAGGCTTTGCTTCAGGATAAGAACAGAAATCAGGCTCCGGTGGCGTGGCAGCAGCAGGAGGCCCCATTAGCTAAAGTGGTGCTTCAGGTTAAGAACAGTTTCAGGTTAAGAACGGACCTCCGAAACGAATTAAGTACTTAGCCCGAGGTACCACTGTACATGAGTTCTGCAAATTTCATGCGCTACACAGATCATCACCATAGCTGTCAACTTTTCCTTTTTCTTGCAAGGAATCCTATTCAGAATAAGGGAATTTCCCTTTAAAAAAGGGAAACATTGACAGCTATGATCATCACACATATACAACCCCTGGATAAGGTTACCACCAGGTTGTTGGAAATACCTAATTGCAAGAAGCAGAAGCAGCAGCACAGAGCTTGAAGATAACAAATGCTGAAATAATTCAGGACGTGTATGACTCAAAGACATCCAGTGCATACTGCAGCTTAAAATTGAATTTAAAGTTGTGCATCGTGTGGGAAGGCGGATAGGGAGAAGTCATGCCCCGCCCCTCTTCTCATAATCCCAGAGCTCAGAGGCATCCAATGAGACTGAACGCTGGAAAACCCAGGTCAGAGAAAAAGTTTTCTGAACACAGCACCTAGCGAGAAGGATGGGATTTGCTCCCACGAGATGTTGCAATGGCCACCAAGTCAGGTGGGTTTCCAAGAGGTTTAGATAAGTCATGGAGGAGAATAACGCTCTCAGGATGCCTACCTGTCGCTGGAAACTGCAAGGAGTTAAAGAGCGCTGTTGTGCTTGGGTCCCCTTTGCGAGTTTCCTGGAGGCATCTAGTTGGTCACTGAAGAACAGGATGCTGGCTAGATGGACCTTTGGCCTGACCAGGTAAGGTTATTGTATTCTTATGGAATTGCATTTGAGTCCAAGCACTCAGATGATAAAATATAATAACAATAACAATAACAGTAACAGTAATTTATTTATACCCCGCCCATCTGGCTGGGTTCCCCCAGCCACTCTGGGTGGCTTCCAACTGGATATTAAAAACACAATAAAACAGCAAACATTAAAAACTTCCCTAAACAGGGCTGCCTGCAGATGTCTTCTAAAAGTCAGATAGTTGTTTATCTGATTACGTACTTAATTCATTCTGGAGGTCCATTCTTAACCTGAAACTGTTCTTAACCTGAAGCACCACTTTAGCTAATGGGGCCTCCCGCTGCTGCTGCACCACCAGAGCACAATTTCTGTTCTCATCCTGAAGCAAAGTTCTTAACCTGAGGTACTATTTCTGGGTTAGCAGAGTCTGTAACCTGAAGCATATGTAACCTGAAGCGTATGTAACCCAAGGTACCACTGTAGTCATAATTCAGTCTGGTGGTCGGCCAGAAGATTTGTGGTTTGAGCCCACCCATGGATGGCTGTGCTCAGAATTCCTGCATTGCAATGGGTTGGACTAGATGGCCTCTTGGTCCCTTTGCACTCTAGAATTCTATGATTCCATGAATTTGCCTATTTTCCCCCAAATCATCCAGACTGTGAACATTACTGCCTCCTGTAGGAGTGAGTTCCACAGTTTAACTATGCGCTGCGAGACCACGGATCAAACGCCACAGTCAGAGAGAACTTTATATTATGCTATCTCATTCACACACCAGCCCTTTCCCAAGGCTTCCAAGCCATACATTCAATGGCCAAAACAGGAAAGGAGATCAACTGAGGCCTAGAGACGTCCTTACGTCAACTAGACCAGTGTTTCCCAACCGGTGTTCCGCGGCACACGAGTGTGCCGTGAGACATTGCCTCGTGTGCCGCGAGATGCCTGGAGGGAGGCGGGCGAGTCGGGCGGCGAGAGGCGGGGCGGCGGCGGCGAGGAGAGGCCGCGCCTCCTGCTGCTGCCTGGCGCTCCTCCTCGCAGCCGGCAGCGCTGCCTGGGCGCCTCCGCGCGACTCTGCCTCGCTGGGTTTGGTCTCCCAGCAGAGACGGGTCACACGCGCCCCTCCCTCCCTCCCTCAGCCTGCGCGGAGGGAGAGCCAGAGAGAGGCATCGCTCCTGCGCGGCGGGAGAGGGAGCAGCCGGAGCGATGCCCCAAACGAACGCATGGGACCGGAGGGGAAATCCTCTCCGAGGCGGATTGAGCGCAGCTGAGAGAAGCCTTTCGAGGAGCTGCCGTGTCCCCTGGAAACCCCCTTCCCAGCTCTGCCTCAGCCGCCGCCGCCTCAGTTGCCGCCGTCCCTCAGTCCCTCGCTCTGCTGCCTCCTCCCACCCCCAAAGCTTGGAGGTTCCCCAGCAAGGGGGAGGGAAAAAACTTTCACTTTTGTGCGTCCCTCCCGGCGTGACGCTGCGCGCTGACGTCACGGGGCGGGGCTTTAATGGTGGTGTGCCGCGAGATTTTTTTTCAGTAAACAGGTGTGCCGTTGCCCAAAAACGTTTGGGAAACACTGAACTAGACCACAGACTTGCAAACTTCAAAGTTACCAGCTTCTATAAATAATTTTTATTATTATTATTATTATTATTATTTCAGTACACTAAAGTTTCCATATAAGACTACCTTAAAAGCAATTATAAAGTAAATGTCACAGTCATTGTAAGTAAATGTTAAAACACAGCAAGCTTGCTAAATCATACAAATTCCGTAACACAAATCAAGGCACTATAAAAAGGGCATATAATCGATAAGGCGGGTGAGGGGGACATTAAGTCATTCTCTAAAAGGCAAGTGGAGAATACAGAAAAGCTAGAGATGGAAGTTTTTAGCTTTCAAAAAGTGGGCGGTGCTTTGTCCTGGATCTTAGGCAAGTCAATCAAAAAATCGGTTTTTAAAAAATCAGAAAAAACTCAGGAACTTTCAGAATATCCCAGTTTTTACTTTTTTAAATATGGGAACCTTAGGTCAGTCGGTCAGTCAAGTTATTGTGTTTTAGCAGACAGCCATTTTACACATGAAAAATGATATTATTATTAATTCTTATTATTATTATTATTAAGATTGACATTTCTGCTCCTTGACTTTTAAAGGATAAGTCATTTCCCAGGGAGTGATCAGAGCTGAAACCCAATAACATTTACAGGACACCATGCTGATTTCTGCTAGGCTCAGAGGTTGCAACTAACCCATGGTCAGGCTGCAAACCCCACCCATGACTAAATAAGGATTTGAACCCAGGCCTCCCCTAGAATCATAGAATCATAGAATCATAGAGTTGGAAGAGACCACAAGGGCCATCGAGTCCAACCCCCTGCCAAGCAGGAAACACCATCAGAGCACTCCTGACATATGGTTGTCAAGCCTCTGCTTAAAGACCTCCAAAGAAGGAGACTCCACCACACTCCTTGGCAGCAAATTCCACTGTCGAACAGCTCTTACTGTCAGGAAGTTCTTCCTAATGTTTAGGTGGAATCTTCTTTCTTGTAGTTTGGATCCATTGCTCCGTGTCCGCTTCTCTGGAGCAGCAGAAAACAACCTTTCTCCCTCCTCTATGTGACATCCTTTTATATATTTGAACATGGCTATCATATCACCCCTTAACCTCCTCTTCTCCAGGCTAAACATGCCCAGCTCCCTTAGCCGTTCCTCATAAGGCATCGTTTCCAGGCCTTTGACCATTTTGGTTGCCCTCCTCTGGACACGTTCCAGTTTGTCAGTGTCCTTCTTGAACTGTGGTGCCCAGAACTGGACACAGTACTCCAGGTGAGGTCTGACCAGAGCAGAATACAGTGGCACTATTACTTCCCTTGATCTAGATGCTGGTCTCCCCTGTCCTGGTCTACCACTACACCACATAATAAGCAAAGGCAGCCATGTTGGTCCACAACAAGAAGCTCTAAAGTTCACAGTACAGCAATATAGAACCAGTATGGCCTAGTGGTTAGAGCATAGGACCTAGGAAACCAGGGTTCAAATCTCC